GATACAACAACCACATGGAAATTTGTTGTTGTAAGTTCTACTAGTGTCAACTCATTTGACAGAAAAATGTAAACAAACAAACAAATTATCATCAAATTATTTTTATTTTGAAAATGAAATATTTTCGAATCCTCAAAATAAAAATTGAAAAACATGAATGAAAATCTATCAAATTTATATTTCTATCGCTTCCACATCTTTCCTATAATTGAGCCATTGCTATATATATGTGTAACTCATATGAAAATGCTGGGAATAGCGAGTTATTCCTTGAAGAAAGATTTGCTTCCTCAAACTTTCCCAGCAGGCAGATTGAGTAAATTGAATACGGGAGCACATTTAATAAAGAACAATTTCAAATTGTATGCGTTCCCAATTTTCCTGTTGGGTGATTTTTAAAAACATAATTTGTCAAATTCATATTGACACTAGTATTACGATGGAATCAAATCAGCTGGGACTTGCTGTTACCTTTTATAATTGTACCATGCATTATAATTAAAAAAAGTTCAAATATTATTAAATAACTCGAAAGTCCCGTAAATGTCAACGAGTTCAGAATGTAATTAATACAATTGTGTTGTTGTTGTTATTTTTTTTCAAATTTTAAGAGATGAATTCGCTCTGAACCTAATCACAATATTTTCCAGAGTCTATCAAGCCCTTAGGCGTGGATTTATTAAAGAATATTTTCCAAGGGCCAACTTAGGCGTGGATTTATTAAAGAATATTTTCCACAGACTATCAAACTCTTAGGCGTGGATTTATTCAAGAATATTTTTCACAGGCCAACTTAGGCGTGGATTTATTAAAGAATATTTTTCTAGGGCCAACTGAGGCGTGGATTTATTAAAGAATATTTTTCAATGGCCAACTTAGGCGTGGATTTATTAAAGAATATTTTCCACAACTTTATTCGAATTCAGAATTCAACATTTTCATATTCTTTAAATTAATTTCATTAATTTGTATTTATTTACAAAACAATTAGCAGCACTAATTTTGATATAATCAAAATTCATTAACAAAAATTATACGTTACATTTTAATCTTATAATACTTTACAAAATAAATTATCGTTATTTCTCACTGGTCTCTATTTAGGTAAGTACTTCAAATATCTCATTTCATGGCAAAGCCAAACGGCAAAAGAGAGCAACAACAATGAACCCGATTGATGGGCGGCAGCCAAATGCACGGGGACATGATTCAGTAAAGTGCTAATACCCAATGTGACCTGTAACCATGCCACCAAGGCGGCAGAATTCATTGCCCAATAGGCCCGCTTGGGTAATCTGGTGCGTCTTGACAACAACCACATGGCAGAGACTAATGTCAATGTGGTAACACCTAAAATGCGATGATTAAATTGTACCGTTGTGGGATTCTCGGTTATATTCTTATTAATCGGTTGGAATGCCAACAGATCGTCGGGTAACCATTTATCGCCCATCTTCGGGAATGAATTATAAACCAAACCAGCATCAAGACCAGCTACAAATGCCCCAGAGAAGGCTGTCAGGAAAATTAAACCCTTGGCAGCATAGGCAAATCGCTTAAAACGCAATGTACTCAAACTGGCTGTGGGGAATTGTTCGGCCGGCAACAGTTTCTTAAGGCCCTGTGACAGGAAGAGGGTGTATAGGACAAAGGCAACACCCAAATGGGCAGCGAGACGATGTTGTGATACACGTGGCACATCATTGACATCTTCAAAACGATTTTCCAAACCCGATTTGACCATATACCAACCCATTAGGCCCTGGGCTCCAATCAAGGAGCCCATAAGTAAAACAAATTTCTTGGTAGTGGAATTCAAACGGCCCTTGGACCAAAAGTAAATGGCTGGCAGCAAGAACACTGCACCAATGGCACGACCCCACATGCGATGTATGTACTCCATCCAGAAAATGCGTCTAAATTCATCCACAGTCATGTTTTGATTTTTCCTAGAAGGATAAAGGGTTATTTCGGTATCTAAAAATTTGAATAATTTAATTCTAACTTACATTTTAAATTCCGGATATTGTTGATATAACCTAAATTCCTCTTCCCACTCAGCCTGTGTGGTGGGAAATTTCTCTCCCAACAATTTCCAGGTAACCATTGATAAACCCGACTCGGTCAGGCGGGTAACACCACCCAAGGCAACAGCCAAATAGACCATGCCACCGCAAACCATCAACCACTTGCCCACAGCCTTTTCTCCTTGTACGGTAATCTGTTGACTTTGACTGTGGCATATCCGTACGATGGGAGCCTTAAAGGTGTTGGGTTTCAGTAATGACTGTGGACCGAAAGAAGAAGAGAAGCCATTGAATTTCATCATAATTATAAATAATTGCAACTCAATTTTGAATTAAAATTACCTTTGTTGTAATGCCAGTGGACAGATTCCTTATTCCTCTATGCACCAGATGACTGTTACTCCTCAATTGTGGAGTAACAACACTACAAGCTGCCCTTAAAAGCCGGCTCATGTTTTCTTTTTTCGGCAAAGTTATCCAATCACTGCAAAAGGAGGCGAGTGTGTTTTGTTCTAGAATGAACTTACGTAGCTGTTCACTGAATGGAACTGCGTGAACTTAATAGAAATTTTAACTTAACATAACATGGTACAATTATAAAAGGTAACAGCAAATCCCAGCTGATTTGATTCCAACGTAATACTAGTGTCAATATGAATTTGACAAATTATGTTTTTAAAAATCACCCAACAGGAAAATTGGGAACGCATACAATTTGAAATTTTTCTTTATTAATGTGCTCCCGTATTCAATTTACTCAATCTGCCTGCTGGGAAAGTTTGAGGAAGCAAATCTTTCTTGAAGGAATAACTCGCTATTCCCAGCATTGTCATATGTGTCACACATATATATGGCAATGGCTCAATTAAAGGAAAGATGTGGAAGCGATAGAAATATAAATTTGATAGATTTTCATTCATGTTTTTCAATTTTTATTTTGAGGATTCGAAAATATTCCATTTCCAAAATAAAAATAATTTGATGATAATTTGTTTGTTTGTTTACATTTTTCTGTCAAATGAGTTGACACTAGTAGAACTTACAACAACAACTTTCCATGCGGTTGTTGTATCGTTTTTTGTACAACAACACTTGCTGTTACCTTTTATTATTATACCATGTTAACATAATTAAATTAATAATTTAATTAAATGGAAGGGGGGGAGGCAATATAGGAGAAATTAAATTATATTATTTTTACATTCCCCAGCTTCTTTAACAGTTATTTATCTAAACAGAATCACATATTTCATTTAATTTAACATCAACGGATAGGGTTCAATAGATCGTAAAATGGCACGAACATAAAATACAGGGTGATAACGAAAAAATAAATTATTAAAATCACTTTTTTTAAACGCATCAATAAAAATAGAAATGATTGAAAATTCTATTAAAGAAAATGTTTTATTGATAAATATTATAATATTTAATAGGAATACCTTCCACAGGCTTACCACATTTTGTTAGTACTTCTAGTCATTTATTAAAAAAAGATCGAATGTTCTTTAAAAGAATATGTTGTCGAATATTTAATTAATTGTAATATTTTATTAAATTAATAATAAAATATTAGAAGACTAATCTACTATTAGAACATATTCTCGACTTCTATTGAAAAACGATAAAGTCTTCTATCATCGTCTTCTATTAGAGGACTTTATTAGAAGACTTTGTCGTCTTCTATTAGAAGATTTTATCGTCTTCTATTAGAAGATTTTATCGTCTTCTATTAGAAGATTTTTTCGTCTTCTATTATAAGACTTTCTGGTCTTCAGTTTCAAGACTATCTTGAGTCTGTCAATCCTAAGGGCTTGATAGACTCTGGAAAATATTCTTTAATAAATCCGCGCCTAAGGGCTTTATAGACTCTGGAAAATATTCTTTAATAAATCCGCGCCTAAGGGCTTTATAGACTCTGGAAAATATTCTTTAATAAATCCGCGCCTAAGGGCTTGATAGACTCTGGAAAAGACTCCGGAAAATATTATCTAATGAATCCACGCCTAAGGGCTTGATAGACTCTGGAAAAGACTCTGGAAAATATTCTCTAATGAATTCACGCCTAAGGGCTTGATAGACTCTGGAAAATATTGTTTAATAAATCCACGCCTCAGTTGGCCCTTGGAAAATATTCTTTAATAAATCCACGCCTAAAGGCCTGATAGACTCTGGAAAATATTCTTTAATAAATCCACGCCTAAAGGCCTGATAGACTCTGGAAAATATTCTTTAATAAATCCACGCCTAAAGGCCTGATAGACTCTTGGAAAATATTCTTTAATAAATCCACGCCTAAAGGCCTGATAGACTCTGGAAAATATTCTTTAATAAATCCACGCCTAAAGGCCTGATAGACTCTGGAAAATATTCTTTAATAAATCCACGCCTAAAGGCCTGATAGACTCTGGAAAATATTCTTTAATAAATCCACGCCTAAAGGCCTGATAGACTCTGGAAAATATTCTTTAATAAATCCACGCCTAAAGGCCTGATAGACTCTGGAAAATATTCTTTAATAAATCCACGCCTAAAGGCCTGATAGACTCTGGAAAATATTCTTTAATAAATCCACGCCTCAGTTGGCCCTTGGAAAATATTCTTTAATAAATCCACGCCTAAGTTGGCCATTGAAAAATATTCTTTAATAAATCCACGCCTAAGTTGGCCCTTGGAAAATATTCTTTAATAAATCCACGCCTCAGTTGGCCCTTGGAAAATATTCTTTAATAAATCCACGCCTAAAGACCTGATAGACTCTGGAAAATATTCTTTAATAAATCCACGCCTAAAGGCCTGATAGACTCTGGAAAATATGCTTTAAGAAATTCACTCCGAAGGACCTTAAAACTCTGGAAAATATTATATAGTCCTTCTAATCTGCTATCATTTAGGAAAATACCTTCTGGGAAGGCCAGGTTTTTTTACAAAAACTCTTTTTTATTTTTAATAAACAATTTTAAATTCGTTTACAAAAAATACATCTCTCTTAATACAAAAAATTAACGTAATGTGGCAAATTTTTGAAAATTTACAGTACTGAATTTACCAAACAGTTCCAAGGGGTAGTGGCGATCTTCCACCGGGGCATGTATGCGGATTTGGCGCATATGTGTATCACGGCCATTTTGATGATTGGAAATCACAGCAATTTGCAGCATAAAGGTGCGAATACATTTCACACTGCCATCCTTGATGGGTATGGTAACCCAACCTAAAAAGAAACCCAGAAATTAAAATCTATTTTCCATAAAAATTAAAGTGAGGAACGTCCTCTCACCGGTGGGTTCATTTAAATCAACAATTTGCAACTCCTGCAAATCATTGAAATGTGATCCGGCACGTATCGAAATGCGTGATGGTGTATAACTTTCATCCAGTTTATAATCGGTATAGATGTAAATTTGACTGATATTCGTTTTCCGATGAAATTGGATGTTCACCAAATGTGGCAGTTGGCCATCCGATTGCCAATATGTATCCATAATATTATCACGTAAACGTTCTACACCAAAACCCGGTTTGCATGATGATAAACTCCAAACGGCTTGATTGCCAACTTCGCGTACCATACCATTCCGCTCTTCTTCCAGGGGATCTTCTTTGATGTCCGCTTTTTCACTTTCTTCATTATTCATTTGGAAAGGTGGGATATTGTGGCGATTTGTTGTTAGTAGGAAAGGATTTTTCTCGCACACCTAGAAAGCTCCTTTGCGCTTCCTCGAAAAATCAAAACAAAAAGCGGGCAGGGTATTAAAGATCGAAAAATGAAATGGTAGAGCGTAGGGTTGTAGAAATCGTTTCTGGGATAGAAAACAGCTGATTCACTTGTTGATTTGTGTTGCCATATTTTTTCGTAGGAAATGTCCTCAGAAATAGAATAAATATAAGAAATCGTACTTCCCATTGGCTTAGATTTGTTAAAGAATATTTTGTAAGTCTTTCTGGTGATTAAGTGTGGATTTTTTAAGACTATTTACACGGGCTATCAGACAATCAAGCGTGGATTTTTTATTAAATTATTTTCCCAGATTATTGGGCCATTTGACCAAGCGTGGATTTTTTATAGAATATTTCCACATACTTTCCAGCCCAGAAGCCTGAATTTATTAAAATATAGTTTTCGCGGATTATCAGGCCCTTAAGTGTGGATTTATTAAATAATAGTTTTCACTGACTATCAGGCCTTTAAGCGTAGATTTATTAAAGTGTATTTTCCATAGTCTATCAAGCCCGTAGACGTGAATTTATTAAAAATAGTTTTTACATATCGACGTCGCCGAACCAAAGTATGCTAAGTCGACTTAGCATGTTTTAAAGTTCATTACGTTTTTAGATACTACGGTCCTTAATTTAAATTCACTGAAATTTTGGTAATCATCGGCCAATCCAAACCAAAGTTATAAGCAAAAATGTACTTAGCATGGCACTTACGATTAAAGAAACTTCCATACTTTGAAAGCTTCTACTGAAAAACTCACTTTTCAGACTTAGCATACTATGGTTCGGAGGCGTCGATATATCTAATAAAATGTTTTTAGAATTTCATGGCGCTAAATGTATTTTAGAAAATTTTATTCACAGTATCTTAAGCTTTTTTATCTGTGGCGCCCAATATTAACTATAAAACTGGTATAAGTCTAAAATCGGAATAACTCTACAGCGGTTCTTACTTTTCCGTACGTTTTTCTTATCGACTAAAATCCCTATACCTCTAGATTCGAGAAGTTGGCCGTCTATTGACATGGCTTTTGAACTATTTGATATGAATTTCCTATGTTAACGGTTTCTTAAAATTTCACCTATTTTCAGACTAGGTCGTATCATCAAAAGTAAACTATAAAAAAAAACTACAAAATAACCTATAAAAGTCAGCCTTACTTCGTTTCAGACCTTTAGCTGCCACGAAACATTTAAATAAGTAATTGTGTATAATGGCGCCCAATTTGCGACACATTAAAAACCATTTACCAATATCAGCCTAAATTTAATCCAGGGTTTTAGCGACCACGAAACATTTAAATAAGTGATTGTTTATGATGGCGCCCAATATGAACCATATCAAATACAATTTAAAGAGCATACTAGCCGAACTGTTCCATGATAGGTGAAATTATTTTATTTCGGTATTTCGATGTTAACACTTTCCCTTTGTTTCTTGACGGCTTGAATAACTTTATGATGCTCCAGTTCCTGTAGATCTATGCCAATCTTTTCAATTATAGAATTTCTGACTTCCTTAGTTATTGTATTGTACGATGAAGTCACTCATAGTGCTTCGGATTTGCTTTTTAATCAGGAATGTGGCTTTCTGTGACATTTCAGTTTATAACAACCTTGATAAATATATTTTGATATCTGAGTCCAAATCCGAAAAAAAATAATGTTTATTGTCTTCTATTTTAAATAAACAATTTAAAGGATCTAAGTGTCCGAAAAAGGTTAATGTTTCCTTTGAAGAAAAATCTCTGTAATCCTGTATGTCGTGGCGCCCAACTTAATTCATAACATTACCAATACCGGCCTGAATTAGCGACCACGAAACATTTTCGATGGTTTTTATCCGATTGACCTTGGTTTGTTGATATATTATTAACTTTTTCCTCTAGATCGTGTCCCAGCGGGAATTGATTCGATTTCAAGATTAGATTTGGTAGATTTGTCGTTTCTTAACCTGTCTCTTCTGGTATGAGCGTATTAACCGAACTTCTACTGGCGATATTGCTTTGGCGTTTCAAAATCGGTTGTGTCCATTTGGGCGTCATTTTAGATGGTTTTTGCAAAGATTTATCCAATTGGGGGTTTGACGTTTTGTTAGTATATTTTAAGCTTTTTTCTGATTCGTGTCCCAGAGGGCCTTGATTCGATTTCAATATAAGGTTTTATGGAGTCGTTTCTTAATCTGTCCCTTCTGGTATGCCGTCTTACCATATTAACCGAACTTCTAATTTCAACCTCGGTAGTATCAAATTGGGCGCCATTTTCCATGTTTTTTTCAAAGACTTGCAGAATTGATTCAGTTTGAACTGCAATTTTGGCTAAGACAGGTTATATATTACTTTTTATTAGTATATTATTAAGCTTTTCCTCTGATTCGTGTCCCAATGAGGCTTTATTCCTATTCAAAACTAGATATAATAGTATCGTTCCCGGCTCTTCTGCTCCTCTGACGCGATTAGGCGGTTGGTCTCGACTATACTGTTAAGTGCTCGATTTCACGATTAGATCGTCGGGTCTAATGTCCTGATTCTAAACACGTCGTTTATACTACATTTCTGATGTTTTAAATATGTTTCGATTTTTAGTTGTGCCCGCAATTTTTGTACCTTTCATTACTTCTTCTCGGGTTTAAAATTAGAACGAATGTTTTTTTTTTTTTTGTCCCACCTCTCGTGTATTTTCCTTTTTGCTCTGTACTTTAAGTTTTTTAACTAGTCCCTGAAATTCCGTTTCATTTCATTAATGTCTATGAAGGTCTAGCTTCAAAAGCTCGATTTGCCAATCCATTATCTGACATCGGAGCGACATGGCCAAACCATCATAGGTGGACTAAACTAAATTTCTTTACGTAAACTAATAGTTTACCCTTCAATTAAACATTTAGGATGAATATTAGAAATAATATACAATAGAAATATATGACTAGTTTGTAATTTTTTTTTATACTTTTTTAACTTTTTCTATAGTATTTATGTTTAATATATTTAAGATTTCTTATATCAATCAATTATTTTCATTATTTTCCATGAAAAAACATTAAATTTTCTCTTGATTTTTAATCATCTTTCATTAGGTAGATTTCCGCCATTTTTTAGGATATTTGTAATTCAATCACTTAATATAAATAATCAATAATTTTTATTGACTTTTTCAGTTGCAGCTCGTGGCGCCCAATATTTACTATATTAAAAAAAAAACATTTTTGCTTTGGTGTTAAGATTTATTTTTTACTGGTCCCGACACATCTAATAAATCTTGTTTCATTAGGTGGATTACCTCCATTTTTAGGATTCCTTCCAAAAATATTTAGTAAAAAAAAAAAAACAATTATTTTTATCGACTCGATGTTTTTCTATTACATTTCGGTATATTTGGGCACAATTCTACGTATCTGTTTTAAAATTCATTCTCTTTTCATCGGGAACATTAATTATATGAAGCATTTTCATTATGTATCTTCACTTATAATTTCGTTCTTGTGTCAATATCTTCACGTCTTTCAAATTTGGTGTGTGTGTGTGTGTCTCCACTTAAATAAATAATAAAAAATATTTGCTAAATGAATCCTGTATACTTGCTGTAGAACCACCGCAATTATCCATCCTGCGGGAATCTATAGAAATATTTCTTGTTTAATATCAAATCCGATAATTCTTTTTTTGTAACCATCTTAGCCCACGTGGCGCCCAATATGTACTATTTGAAAAATCAGAAGTTAAGATTTATTTTTTATTTGTCCCGATTACAATTGTTGTAGAACCTGTTGGATTGTATAGAAATATTATTTTTTAAAACAAATCCAAAAATCTATTTTTATAACCTCTATTTTTAAAATGAAACAATTCCCTGCTTCCCTGTTTAGCTTCCCTATTTCTCCTCCCTCAACTTTGACATATTTGCCAATAAAAAAAAAATAAAATCTATTTGTTGTAAAATACTTATTCTTCAAGGTAAACATGTGTTGAATATTTTTTTCTTTTATTATTAGCTCAGGCGATAATGTGTAAGGGAATTCACTTCTACGTGTCAAATGTAACACGTTCTGTATGGCAAAACGGCAAAAAATGGACTTACACAATTTACACAAAACATAGATTAGCCATGAATCACCCACTGCTAACCAAGTGGCCGAACCACCACCACCACCCAGTCAAGCAATTAAGAATGCACAGCAACAAACTAACAGCCATTGTAAATGGTTAGATAGTGAACCCAACTGGGATATGATGTCATGGGCTGCTTAACTTTATTTTTTACTTTACTACAATGAAGCAACAACAACAAAAAACATGAAATAAAGAAATAAATCTTTAAAAAAATGTATTTCATCACACACATTATAATTTAGTTACTCAAACTACTCCCTCTTTACTCTCGCTCTCTCTCCTTTTTCCGTTCTCTATCACTGAAGATACCTCTTACATTGAGTATACCCATTACATTGGCTTACATGTTTATTCCTGCTTACGTAGAGTGAAAGTTCAAAAAGTAAAGAACAAAACAAAAACAAAAATGTAGTACAGACACAATACAGGCAAAATTATCACACACATTCGCACACACACCAAAATATATTTCTCTATTTTTCTTCAAGCCGTCCTTGACCCAATTCCAATGGAAGCAGAAGACGACATCACCCATGTCATCGTCGCCATCGTTCGTCGTGGAGCAATGTAAGTGTAATACTTTTTTTCGTATATGGAATGACGTTGCCGCTGCTGGCACCATTAAACGGCGGGTGGTGTTTCCTCTCTCTCTCTCTGGCGCTCTTTTGATTGTCTGCATTATCATCGTGACCATCATTGTCAAAATTCACCTCTAAGGCAACAACAAAATATTACCGTAACCTCAAACTCCACTTTTACTACTCGCATTCTCTCTCTCTCACACTCTCTTCTTTGAATTATCTCTTTGAACCAAACCCAGTTTTGCCAGTTTTAAAACTTCCTCCACTCCCACATTTAATAACCATTTAACCCCAAAAAAAAACATACAACAACAAAAAAGTGAATGGCGTCGTTTTTTCGGCTTGACGGCGTCAGAGTTTGAGGCAATGCCAACAACACCAACAAAAAATGCCCCACTACATAAAAATCTCATTAAATGCTAAAAATTTTGTGTTTTTATCCATAAAAAGACAGCGTAACCATTTTGCAGCAATTTTCATTACACCAACAACAGTGGGGACACACACATACGGACTCACACTAATCCAAGTATGTACGTACATACATATGTGTGGTGTACTACATCATGACACCAAGCAATTTAGCCACAAAACACAGAGCACCAACCGACTAGTAAATAACAAAAATCCTTCCTGGAATGAGTCATCAGCAGCACACTAACAACAACACACGAACATCATAACCCAATAAAAACAACAACAACAGCACACACGAACATTACACGACGATGATGATGGAGAAGATTGATATGATAGCACGATGCAAATATGTTCATGGCACAACAAGAATGCCCCAACTACGACTACACAGGAGAGAGACAGAGTAAATCAAACAAAACAAAAGAGAGTGAGGGAATGAGTGAGAGCGCCCATAGAATAACGGAGAATATGAGCATCGAAATACTAAAAGAACTCGAAATACTAAAAAAAAATACGACCAAAACCCCCAAAATACTGAAAATTACAAGGTACCGTTATATGGGGGCTTCCAGAAAAAGTGTACCTATATTTATAATTTCTTGTAGGGACATTTAGTACCCAATAAGGACTCAATGTACCAAATTTCAGCGAATTCGGTTGAAAAACGCGCTCAAGAACCCCAAAATACCGAAAATTGGGGGGTACCGTTATATGGGGAGTACCAGAAAAAATTGACCTATATTTATAATTTTTAGTAGGAAGATTTGCTTCCCAATAAGATCTCAAATTTCCAAATTTTAGCGAATTCAGTTGAAAAACGCGCTCAAGAACCCCAAAATACCGAAAATTGGGGGATACCCTTATATGGGAGCTATGCTTAAACGTGGACCGATATATCCCATCTTCGAACTTGACCTGCCTGCAGACAAAAGACGACTCTATGCAAAATTTCAGCTCCCTATCTCAATTTCTTCAGAAGATAGCGTGATGACAACAGACGGACGGACGGACATGGCTAGATCGTCTTAGAATTTTACCCTGATCAAGAATATATACAGTATATAGGGTCGGAAATGAATATTTCGGTGAGTTACAAACGGAAAAAAACGGAAAATTAATGGAGGTGGAGGGTATAAAAAAATAAAATGTAAAAACTCACAATCAATTATCTCAGATAATACTTGAAAAAAAAACAAAGGCATTTCAAAACGTTATTTCAAAATCCACAATTGAATATTGATAACAATAAAAAAAAACAATAAAAAGGGTCTTAAAACAAAATTAGGTGGGTGATGATGTCAAAAATTTTATTGCCAATAACAAAAATAAACTCATAAATAAATTATTAAAAAAATTAATCGATCGTATCGAACAGACATGTTTTTAATTTTGTCCAGAAAAAAATCTATTATGAAAATAAAGCAACTACGTCAAAAGAAGTGAAACGAAACCGTATACATCACTAACATTAACCGGTTTTTGTTTATGAAGATAAAAAAAATTATTAAATATTTTTTTGTTATTATTATTTTATGTATCTAATTTAAGACAATCTTGGAACAATGAAACTTTAAAAAAACAAGTTATGGCTAAATTTGAAATCTCTGCACAACAATGGACACTAGAGTGGGTAGCAATGAAATTCGAAAATCTATTATGGATAATTGTTTTACACAATACTGCTGATAATAATAACTACTTGTTTTTGAAATGGTAGATAAGTTATCTAATTGACAAAAATTCATTTATCTGGTCTATAAAAAAACTTACATAATTTCTTCAAATTTAAATAAAGGCGAAATTATTTATCTGAGCTATAAACTTGCGTAAATAAATTATTTTAGACAACCTAAAAGTCAATAGATAATTTACCTGAACTATTTAATACATATATATATATATAATATTAATTTATCAAATTTAATATTACAAACAATTTATCTAAGCTATAAAAATAGCATAGATAATGTATCTATATTTAATAAAAATTTTAGATAATTTATCTACAATGCGAAAAACTTCGTAGATAATATATTTTTTGGATTAAAACATATAGATACTTGATGTAACTTTCAAAAAATTACATAGATAAATTATCTAAGCCAAATATTACTAACAAAATACATAGATAAATTATCTAAATCAAAAAATTATTTAAAAT